GAATTTTATTCGGATATTCAAAGAGTACAGTTAAGGAATATATTAAATTAAAGCATTGACTTTGACATTTGTGTTTATATTCATAAAATTAATTATCCCTTGGCATTTTTTAATTTATAATATTCTTCCTATATTTTTCATTAATATTATGTAGGTGATATATATATATATATATATGTCAAGTGACGAGGATGTTCTTCAACATTTAGATAACATAGAATCTTATCATGTATCTACATTGACAAAAAGTTTCATTAAAAAAAATTAAAGATATTTCTCTTAAAAAAAAAAAAAAAAGATAATTTGTTATTTGTTGTGTTTGATTTTTTCATTAAGCTCAAAGAAGTCAGAACCTCACGGGGTTATAGTTTGACCCAGAATTAGTTCGGTTTAATACTTGTCTGACCCAACGTAAGTTCGTCAAGATATAGCTCGATCTAACATAAGCTAATCATGACCAATCCTGAAAGTTGTTTGAACAGATCACTGATAAGCTCAGATCCTTAATATTTTGGAAGAGATCAGATCAACAACAATTATAACGCGATCTTAGCACCTAATCATGACAATATCGGAGTTACACTCTAATCTTGATTGTAATTCCTTTAATTTCGCTATTTTCTTTGTAAGAAACTTGTATATAAACCCCTTCCAACGATGAAAGAGGGGTTAGCAAATTGTCTTAAACATATTTTTATTTCTTGTAAGCTCTTTAAGTAATAAGAGAAATAGTGGACATATGCTTAAGTCTTAAACTTGTCAAACCACTTTAAAAACTCTCTTGTCATTACTTATATTTGCTCTTTAATTGTTTCATTTATTAAATCACGCACACATCCGTTTCGATTCTACCATAATCAATCGGATCTATTTGGTTAGTACGATTTTTCATATCAATAGTATTATTTTATAATGCATCTTTAACTTAATAGTATAAGTCAAGACATAAAGTTAAAAATTTTTATTATGTATCACAAAAATTCTCCTTGAGCTAAAATTACTGCCAATACCAAATCACATCAATCAGCAACCTAGAGTAAATTTACTAAGCTTAATCATGTGGAAAAGAGATCTATGTAATAATTAACTTAATTTTACCGGAGGTAAGAAAATTTTTGGCCTATTAACTACTTTTGGGTGATCGAATGGTTTAATAGGGAATCTTGAGTGTATTATTCAAGAGATCTTAAGTTCGAATTCCTTTTTTGTTGCTAATAAAAGTTGTCACTGGAACTCTTACCCAACTAATTGTTCTAAGACCTTAGGAGATTAGTTGAGGTGCGTGTAACTTACCCACATCTCGATCATAACAAAATAAAATAAAATTGGCCCATTATTGTGTTGAAGAGCAACTCAGTATTTTACTAGATGGGAAACGTCAAATTGATCGAACTGACTAAGAGATTAATGGTTGTATATTAATTTTGAATCGATTGTTAATGACATGTTTATGTTATAATTAATTAACTTGTGATGTATAAGTTGTTAAGTAGAATCAATCAATTGCGTAAGTCGAGGAAATACTACTGTAGATTAGGTATGACATTAATAATAAATCCTGTGTAAATTATAACTAATTTAAAAAAACATAACGGTCGTCGAGGAATGGATCAACATGAGATGTATTTCATAATTTCATTGACTTTGAAATATTTGTCTTTCACAGTATAAACAAATTTGTGAAGTAACGTGGTACCTTGTATTGGCGATATATACCTAGTATCATAATATAAAGTTTTATAATTAATTAGAGGATTGATGGGATTGGTCGAACAACCCCGTGTTTGATTTCATCAAAAATTATAAATACTACTTGCAAATTGCAATTAAAAAATAGAAAGGTAGAACCTTCTAGCCTATGCTTGCGTTCAATTTACAACCAAAAATTAATAAGCTTTGACTGAGACGTATTCAATTAATATATTTTTTAAGTTTATAAAATTAATTAGATAAATATTACTATATGATTGGATTTATGTACTTTACACAAATATATCTTTTAACTGATGATGTTGATATTGAAGGTTCGCAATACTAATTAAATTAATTGATGAGAGCTACAGTTATATAGACACGGTAAAATGTCATGTGGGTGAAATGAAATCATATACTTGGCGTAGACGTAAACAGGGATGTCATTTTATTGAGTAAACGACTTTTTCTCACCCAAGATTTGCTTTAATGACACTTTACCATTAAAAAAGTTTTAAAATACCATTTTTTTACCCAAATTTAATATTCAATTATTGTCCAAAGCTGATTTTGATGGTGAAAATTCTCTCCATCATCACCATTTGAATATTCAGTCTCCTCTCTACAAAACTCCTCTCACTCTAGCACGCACCTGATTTCTTACTGATTGTCGGTCATCTCAAAACTAGGATTTCTTATTCTTAGCTGATTTCTAACTAATTTCAGTAACAAATATTCAATCAGTCATCACCAATCGATCACTAGTCTCCACTCTACAAAAACTCTCTTATCTAGGCTCTTGGTAACTCGCCAAACACTGGTTGAGAAAGTGAAGTGTATTTTGAATATTAACATAATATAAACATTGGATGAGAAAGAGGTATTTTGAAACTTTTTGGATGGAAAAGTGTCATTAAGGCAAACCTTGGGTGGGAAAAAGTCGTTTACTCTGTGTTATAATCAATTAATAAAAAAAATGTCAGTATCCGTCCCTAATAATCGAAAGTTCAATTGCATACCAATATTACTTGAGGCGTTTAGCCTGATAATTAATTTTAAGCAATTATGAAGAATAACTATTGTGAAGTTTGCCGGAAGCAATTTCGCTGTTTTTTTATTTACCCCAGCCCTTTGAATATTCAAAATCTTACATTCGTAATTTAGAATTTGACTTATCATGATTATATATATATATATCAAATTTGCTAAGAAAAGTAATAGAAAAATTGTAGAACTATGTAATTGTATTGTGTGAATTGAAGAATGAAAATGTTACAATATATCGACTTAATTCTAGTTCAATAAGGTAAAGTAATGTTCGTAATAATAACAAGAATCTTATGAACTAAGTAATAAAATATATAAGAATCCTGCATATAAGGAAACAAAATAAACAGAATATCCTATACATTAATACAGAATATCCTATGCCTTAATATGATAATTATATGCCTAATTTGTAGTGATCCTATATCAAAGAAATATTTCCTAAACTAAATATACAATAATCTTATGAATGTATAAAACAATCATCGAGAAACCATTAATCCTAAAAACTTAAAATTTCGGTAACATAATTTTTTCAAGGCGGAATGTTGCCAGCAATTTAAAGAAAATACTTATTGGAAAAGACGCTTAAATGAATTTCATCTATTTAATCACAAAAAAAGGTAGTATAATTCATATAGAAATTTCATCCAAAAAAGTCTTGCGACAAAATTCATATAGAGATTTCATCCAAAAAAGTCTCGCAACAAAATTAATGTTGGCACTTGGCATACAAGAAATGGACTTGATCAATCTTCAATCCTTTTTTTTCCGACCATCCTACCTCAAGACTGGTCTTAAGATAAGAATAAAAACGCAAGCTTAATAGATTGAGAACCTAATCTCATCTTGTTTGTCTATCTTAAATACGCGAAGGATAGGAGACAAGAGGAGAAAAGCAAGCAAAGGAACACAAAGTCAAAGACATGGTACCATAGGATATGTCTGGTAGGATGTCTAATTATCAGGCTTCAATCTTCATCAGCCAGCCGGCATACAGTCAATCTCTCGAGCTTACAAGCTGTATATGAAAGCTTAGGTTAAATATAATAAATTATTCCTACATACAATAGATTATACAGCACCATCAAGGAAATTTAGAAGCCTGGTGGGTCCAACTAATCTAGCTATATATCAAATATTATTCATGAAAAACTAATCATATGCCATGAATTCATTTTCTTTTTTAGGCTCTGACTTCTGTGACATTTCAGCATTTGGTGGGATCGATTGGTTCCAGCGGCAAACACCAACCAGCCAAATCTTATTTAATATTGACATATTAGTGTATTCACATGATGAGAAGAAAATAAAATAAGATAATTTGTGTAATTAATTAGATCTCTCCAATGAAATTAAACAAAACTTCTGCCTTCCCTTTTTGTTTTGTATTGCATCACAATGTGTGTGTATCTTCTTCAGCGCGGGTGCCCATTTTCTCTTTTCTGTTTAGTTTGAGCCGACGAGCTCCGTTAGGATGCCTATGCTCATCTCCTTCCTCAGTTTGGAGCCTGCCGCGGCGCATGCTTCCTTTTGGATGTTTGTTCAAATCCTTTTGTCCAGAAAGTTAGGCACATCTGCTCTGGTCTTTTTTGGACCTCTTTTGGAGGTATACCCCTAGTTTATGTATAGTTTTTCTTTCTTTTATTAAATTTACCTTTTCTAAATAAAAAAAAAAAAAATGTAATATAAGTAATTTGAATAAAATTTAGAGATGATTTGAAACTCTAACTAATAGTTTGTTTAAATAAAATCGAATTTGGTTTGCATACATATGGCAAAAACTGGTTCATATTGTGCGTGCCTGTCCCCATGAAACTATTGATTTAAAATTATATATAAAAATATAATAAATAAAGTGTCCAACTAAGCATTGAATCCAAGACAAATTCCTTCAAAGATAAGTAAATTTTAGCTAGTGTGAAGTCAAATAGATCGGATGAGACAACTTCAAACAAATTAAACAGTGTGAACCAGATAACACTGTTCCTAATCATGCCTAATTGTTTCGTTAAATTAGCTGAGGTCAATAAACCAACGCCAGGAAATAAAATAAAATTAATATTAGTGTACCAAGTACCAAGTCAAATGAAACTTCTCTCTGAGCGACTTGTTAACATCTTTTAAAAGTTTTTCTTTACCTGTTCCCAAGCAAGCTGGCCTACAAATTTTGTTTAATGGAGAAAATCTAAGCCTTTACCTTGTATATAAGGGTGCATTGTGTTAGCAGTTTAGCACGCAAAACACACAGAGATAGAGAGATGAAGGGTGGCTTAGTTTTGTTCTTGATTACCGTGGTGACAGTGTTAGGAGTTTGTCATGGAGGGCAGTTGAGGAAAAAATTTTACAAGGAGAGTTGCCCACAGGCTGAGGAAATTGTGAAAAACATCATATGGAAAAGTGTTGCGAGCAATTCAACTTTGCCTGCAAAGTTTCTTAGAATGCATTTTCATGATTGTTTTGTTCGGGTAATGCATGATTTTTATTTATCTTTTTATAATAATATGCATGCTCAAAGTGTTCGATGTTAAACAATTGTGAAATGGTATGTCTCTCAGGGTTGCGATGGCTCAGTTTTGATAGACTCAACACCAAACAACTCAGCCGAGAAGGATGCGATTCCGAACCAATCGCTGGGAGGATTTGATGTTATTGAAGAAGTGAAGACCCAGTTGGAGAAGACTTGCCCTGGAGTAGTCTCTTGTGCAGATATCTTAGCTTTAGCAGCTAGAGACTCAGTTTCTTTCCAAGTAAACTAAAAACAATTCAAAATCATAATTTTAATAAATGGTTTCTAATTAAAAAAAGAAAAACTCAGTAACCATGCATGCCATTATTATTGCAGTTTAAGAAGCCACTGTGGAAGGTGCTAACAGGGCGAAGAGACGGAAGGATTTCACTTGCTTCTGAGGCTCTTGCCAACATTCCCTCACCCTTCTTTAACTTCACCGCCCTCAAACAATCTTTTGCCAGCAAAGGCCTTACAGTTCATGATCTAGTTGTCCTATCAGGTAATTAATTAATTAAAGATGGTATATAAACTTTATTAACTAAACGTGAAAAGAAAAAGTGGGTGGATTAGCTATAACTGTTTAAGTTATTGGAGTAATAGTGTAGTACTCTTTCAAACTTTGACACAATATTTACTTGCGTGCAAGAATGATTTTGCCAAAAAAAAAAAATGTTTCTGTTGAGTAACATTTTCCGTGGCTTTTACTTGGGGGCCATTGATATTGACTTAATAAAGGCAATTGATATATTAATAATGGCTTATTACCTTTCGTGTTAAATCGGCAAGTTGTATATTTCCATGCATGTTAATTGAAGGAATTGGTCATAATCAGGTGGGCACACAATTGGAGTTGGCCATTGCAATTTCTTCAGCAACAGGCTGTACAATTTCACTGGAAATGGCGGTGCGGATCCTTCTCTAAATCCACAGTATGCTGCTTTCTTGAGAACCCAATGCAGAAGCCTTGCGGACAACACAACTATTGTGCCGATGGACCCCGGGAGCGGCCTAAATTTCGATAATCATTACTACAAGATTCTTCTACAAAACAAAGGACTATTCCAGTCTGATGCCGCGCTTTTAACTAACAAAGGCTCCAACAATATCGTGGAAGAGTTGACCGACTCTGAGAAGTTTTTCACCGAGTTTGCTCAATCCATGAAGAGAATGGGAGCAATTGAAGTTCTTACAGGGTCTTCAGGAGAGATTAGAAAGAAGTGCAACGTGATCAATTAAAATATTATTTAATACAATTTACAATTTCCATTGATGTACTATGAATGTTTAGTGTATGTGGTTTGAAGAGATCATACTTTGAATAATCCTATACTAAAGGATAGTTTAAGTGTGTAATAATAATAGAAAGAGTTTGTGATGATTCACGATATAATGCTCTGAGATCATATTTTGAATAATCCTGTACTAAAGGATAGTTTAGTGTGTAATAATAATAGAAAGAGTTTGTGCTGAATCACGATATAATGCTCTATTTAATTTCAGGCTTATTAATTTATGATGGACAAATGATATATCATTTGACTAAAAATATCTTTAAGTATACTAGAGACCAAATGCCGCATTATTAATTGGTTGCTTGTTTGAGATTGGATTTTGTCAAGTTTGGGATCAGAGAATGAGCACTGTCAAATCAGACATAAAGTACGATAGGATAGAAAAATGAAGCCCGAACGGCTTATGCCTACCCAAGGTTTGGTGAAACAATGATCGGTACTTAAAAGGTTTCAAAACAATAAATATGTACCTTTCGTTATGTTCTGTTAGTGATTTCTATTTGTTAATAGTGAAAAGACTAGAATGCCCTTTGAGAAATATTAGTCTATTTTTTTAATTATTTTTAGACCTCTTAAGTTTATTAATTTCACAAATACCCCCAAAAAAAGTTTAAAAATTAACAAAAACCCCCCCATCACCCATACTTGTCAGATTCCAATGGCCACCGCCGATGGTAGCCGGAATCTGTCACAACGGTCTACGCCACCATCGAAAATTGTCGGTAATTCACCGATCTGGCCTTTTTCGGCAAGATCCACAGTGGATCTGGCCAGAAAAGGCCAGATCTGACGTGAAAAGCCAGATCTGGCCGAAAAGTGACAGCCAAAGAAATGGTTGTTGTTGACTGTCAACAACGGCCAAATCTTGGCCATCGTTGACAGACAACAACGGCAAAGATGAAGTGTTGCAGCCATCGACAACCAGATCTAGCCTTTTTTGGTCAGATCCGTGGTGGATCTGGCCGAAAAAGGCCAGATCTAGGCCCTACCCGCCAGATCCGATCAATCTGTGGTGCGACGTAATTTTTTGGCCAGATTCCGGAGGTGGTGACTGGAATCTGGCACTGAGGTGATGGGGGTGTTTTTGTCATTTTATAAAAAATTTTATGTATTGGGGTATTTAGTTAAATTAGCAAACGTAGGGTTTTTTTAAAATTTTTAAAAAACTAAAATATCAAACTTTCAAGGGTATTCTAGTCTTTTCATCATTAGCAAACGAAAATCACTAACAGCACATAATGGAAGGTATCTGTTTGTCGTTTTGAAACTTTTTTAGTACTAATCTGTCGTTTCACCAAAATGAATTGGGATTCCGCGGTTGCCACTTGCCACCTCGTGGAGGTCTTAGATCTATGGAGTGTACGCAGTTTGTTACGTACGTTCCTCTTTAATTTGGCTGGTTTTCGGAGGTGATTTTCTACAGGATAAAGTTGATGCTTGATGGAGACCTATTTATTTGATAAAACTTTTATTATTTTAATTAATTTATTACTAAACTTTATCTTAATTTATTATTAATATTATTATTACTGCATAATTAAACAAATGGCTTTCTGATTGGATAGGACAGGTAATGTTTATTTTTCGGGTCGAGATGATCTTGAGGCAGGTTAACTGTCTTTTATAAGCCTTTTATATGTTCATTTTCTCTTTTATAATGAAAGCTTACTTAACCAAAGAAATTTTTTGTTTTATTTTTTATTTTTTGACTTTATAATCTTAATTAAACAGAAGAAAAGAAAAACAAATTATGGTATAAATGTTTATCATGTTTATTATTGGTATAAAAGGAAGACCAAAAAGTTAAACATTATATCCACTATGGAGGTAAAAATTTCAAGATTTGTTATCCTTTGTCCGAGTATGAATCCACTAATTATAATTCTAGGTTGATATTCTCAAAAACAACATAATTTTGATTTATATATCTCTGATCCTATAACGTTGTAGTACATAATTTTGACCACTATATTCAACAGATAGACACATGAAAACTATATATTATATGAAATTCAACATCAAACATTAAAATGAAACTATATATATTTAGTAAAACTTCTCTATAGTCATAATGATGGGAGTAATTAATTTGATTACTATAAAGAGATTATAACTTAATAGATGTGTAGTTAATTTTTTTTTCTTATTTCATAATTCATGTTTTAGTAGTACAATATTAGGATTTCAATTCATGTTTTAATAATATTATGGTTTCAATTCAGCGCTTCAATTGCCTACTTTTGAAACAGATAGAAGATCGTATTTTGAAACTAACAAAGATAACTGTCTTTGATGGAATTGTAAATGCAGTTACTGCATGACAATTGATGTGAAGCCACAAACAATTGTCAATTGTTTAAAGCATTACAAAATTACAACTCCTGATGTCGATGAATTGCAAGTTACAAATGAAGTGGATGAAGAGAATCAAAGAGTCATTATAGAATTGAGTGATCAAATTCGACAACTTCACTATACTAATTGAATTAATATTAATGTTTTCCTTAATCATCCAAATGAGTAACAAGTCATATATGCTTTAACAAAAGAAGAAATCATTTCTACAATTAAACAAGAAGAGAAATGAAGTAATTATGAGGATGATAGTACGAAAATACAAAAAGTTTTATGTTAAGAAGTTATAAAAATGCTTGAGAAGCTAGAAATGTTTTGACTTTAACAAGAAAATGTCCATACTAGCGAGTAATATACTTGCAAATTAAAAGATATGGTAACAACTCTAAAGCATAAATTATCGTCTCAAGCAACTTTAGATAAATATTTTATTTCATCTTAAACCTTTAATGTAACATACCATATTTTTTTTTTTTTTGCAATATACAGATAATTATTACTATGTGGATGCAACTTTCCTTAAGACGAGAATTAGAAAAATTATAACTTATTATAATATGGAGTTTATTCTTATTTATAACTATCCCAAATTGGAAATATAATTTTTTATGATTATGTAGAGTTTATTTATATATAAAGTATCATTATAGAAAAATTTTACTATATATATATATATTCTCCTAATTTCTTTTTCTATTTTCTCTAAAAATATTATTATTAATATTTTTTTTATTGGATGTCGCGCCAGTTAATGCGTAACTCAATTAACCTTTTAAGGTTTTGAAATTATTAGTAAGGTAAGAACCGAAGTGATCACCTTATTAATAACTTGAGGATTCAAATTCACACACTTATAAATCCCCACTTTATTCTTTTACCTCACTCCGCCTAGTGATTGAAAAATTATAATCCCACTTGCAAATTACATATTTATAATATTTTATTCCCAAAGACTAAGTGCATAGCATTTGGCACCGACAAAAAGCATTTGTATATATAATACGAGTACTGACAATTAAGTGACGAAAGGAGATGATGCATGCATTTCAACAACTATAATGTGAACAATAGTGCAGCCTGGCTTTATGGAAGGAAATAATAGAAGACAAGACAATAGGACATTAAAGTCGTGCGAAATCATGGAATTCATAATTAATTAATTAGCTAATGCAAATTGTAATCAATGCCTAGAAGAAGAATTAAGAATCCTGGCCTTGTTCAACCGAAAATATTTTTTAGAAGGAAAATTAATCCCTTGCACATGCATGCTCCCATACAACTGCTACATATAGAATAAGTATTTTACAAATTAAGTGCCGCACAACCTGCCTTGAGGATTATTTTAGTAATTACCCTGGATTAGAATAAGCATTTACAAAATATTGTTTCACCTAGCTAGGGAAGTTTGGCTCTTCCATCTGTATTTTATTCAAGTTTATGAATCAGCCTGATTAAATTGTTCATGAAGTTTGGTTCAATAATCTACTTTATGTCATCACCGTTTAAACTTCGTTGGGGAAGAGTTGTTGGTTAACTCACTTTAGTGTATAGTTACCCATTTTAAGTGCAACGGAATTATTACCAAGTTGATTAGGATATTTCCAAAATAATCACATCAAACACAAGTGCAGAAACTAAAGAACACAGTCATATACATGGTTCGGCTAAATCCACTTTTAGCCTATATTCATGAGACATTGTTTAAATCGAAGCAATCCACTAAGTTAAAAACACATTACAAGATTAAGTTCAAAGTTGATCTAAGATACAGTAAAAAGAACTTCGTGTTCAACTTTACATTTAGCACTATATCACGGATGTATCTTCCACCTAAGCATATCTCTCCAACTCTGGCAACAAACGCCTTCCTGCATGGTGCACTGACTGAGACTGTGTATATGCTCCAACCACCAGGGTTCAAAGATGTCAATAATCCAAATCATGTGTGCAGGTTACGTAAGGCTATCTACGGTCTTAAACAGGCTCCAAGAGCCTGGTATTCAGCTCTCAAATTGGCAATTCTGGGTCTTGGTTTTCAAAATTCCAGAGCTGACTCTTCTCTCTTTATTTATTGTCAGAACTCGTTTATATGCTATTTATTGGTGTATGTGGATGATTTGGTTATTACTGGTAACAATCCTTCTTTTGTGTCTGAGATTGTAGCACAGCTTGGCAATCTTCTCTTTAAAGGACATGGGACAACTCCATTTCTTTTTGGGATTGGAGGTCATTTCTACAACTTCTGGACTTTTTTTGTCTCAGCATAAATATATTCGAGACCTACTGTCCAAAACAAATATGATTGCTGCTAAAGATGTCTCCACTCCCTTGTCCACCACCGCTTCCCTTAAACTGGTTGATGGTACCTCCGCAGCTGACAGTACAGAATTCAAAAGTGTTATTGGAGCTCTTCAATATCTGTCCCTCACCCGACCAAATATTTCATTCTCTGTCAACAAACTCTCTCAATTCATGCACAAGCCTACAATGACACATTGGACAACAGCCAAGCGCCTCCTTCGGTATTTAAAGCACACCATCTTTCATGGTCTCCACATAAAAAAAAAATCCAGCTTTGCACTTCTTACATACTCTGATGCGGATTGGGCAGGCAACTATGATGACCGGACCTCCACCTCGGCATATGTTTCATTTCTTGGTGCTAATCCTATCTCCTGGAGTTCAAAGAAGCAACGGGCAGTGGCAAGGTCATCCACAAAAGCCGAATATCGAGCTCTTGCCAATGCAGCCTCCGATACGTCATGGCT